TCCCATACTGGTACCTCTAGTTTGTTGATAAAAGGTATTGTTAAATTGAAAAAAGTTATGTTTTTAATGCAAACTCCAATAACTCACTAATAAATTCGTTCTGTCCTCTCCAAAGTAGGATATGTTTTATATCAAGAAAATAGGAAACTGATCTTACACCACATTCATGTGGATAGAGGTGTAAAGTGATTCCACATCTATTCCCACTAGAATGGAGTTATCATTAATGATCATGTTTTCAATCTTAGCCAACACATCTTTAGTGTCCCTTACATAGGAGGGGAGATTAGGAACCATATCTTTAAGGAACAAATCTATATATTTCCCTGTTTTAATCTAGGGGACCATTAATGGCTGAAACAATAGGTCTACCTGGAGGGTTTTCTTGATTTTTATGTATTTTAGGGATAATGTAGAAAGTAGGGTGATTAAATTCTTCAGTTCTCAGATAGTCATATTCTTTTTTAGTTAACAAACCCACTTCTTTCCCTAGTGTTAAGATGGAATTTAGTTTTTTTACCACCATATGGAAAGGATTCGCAGTCACTTTCCTATATGTGGATGAATCACTCAATAAGCGCTTCACCTCCCTGACATAGTTTTTGTTCATTCAAAATCACTACATTACCCCCTTTATCACTTCTCTTAATAACAATATCTTTGGTCTCTTTTTAGTTCTTTAAGAGCTTTTCTTTCTTTTTTGGTAAGATTATCACCAATTGGCATTTTCCCACACTCAAGATTTTTAAGATCATCAGCAACAAAATCTAGAAATGTCGAGATCCTCATATTGGAGCGAATTTTCGGCATTTTTGTCGATCTAATATTCAGATCAACCTTCCCACATATCATTTATCTCACTACAGGATGGGGACATCATGGTGCTTTGTATAGGATACAGGATATACCACATATATCTCAACGGGCAGAAGATCTTTTGGGATATGTCCTGTTTTTCCCTACGAAAGGTGGTGTGTAGTCCACATATAGTGGTGAAGATACCATTTCAAGCAGAGTGCTGCTTTTTGCATCTTTTCTTCACCCTGGGAATAAATGGGGCATTTTTTTCATTCAAGAGCTCTAGGATACAGCTGTTTATATTACAGATGAATGGGCCCCAACCACGTGTGCCGGTACAGGAATGTATTGCATCATAAATTATTTGACATTTAATGTCTTCCCCATACAGGCCTGAGGCTTGTTGTTCTCTGCTTGACGCCTATTGTGCTTGCTGCATTGTATATATGTGATACTTTTCCATAGTACAATTTTTTGGATTCCCTGATTGGGATTCACCATAATGGTATTGTTCTACATATAATATTCAACATTATGGTATGCCTATGGTATAATTTTTGGATACACCTCTTTTGGGAAGTGTTCACCTATGTGTCTGTGCTACAGGGACATTAGACTCCTGCAGTCATTTTTTCTGTTGCACATGCACTTAGACCGGTCTTGTGTCATTTTATACGATTTTAGGTCTGTGTGTATTGTCTCATACTGAGGTGATGGTAAACCCAGGGCGAACGCCCATATGTCATATTTATATTTGTGTAATAAAGCATAATTTTTGGAAATTTTCTGAGTGTCACATTCTGTTCATAATGTAGCCGCTTTCTCTGTGAATTTCTTTTCACAAATCCCCTTTTTTTGAATGCCTCTTTTGGCTACTGAATGGAGACCAAATATTGGGTGACATGATAATTCATTTGACAACCTCTTAATAACTATCTTTAATACATGCATCTCATGGGGCCCCCTACTAACCCCGACCCTCAGGCAGTGCCCGAGTTTCCAAATGGTCAGTCCGCCCCTGCTCGGGAATACTGCCAGGGGGGTTAATAGACCCGATACTGAGGCCAGACCATGCGGTGAGATTCATCTCCAGGTACCACAGCAAGCACCGTAAGATTAAAAGTGTCCTACAGAAACACTGGAACATCCTACTGGAGGATCCCCGTTTGAAAGATCTCATTCCTAGCCAACCCACAAGAAAAGCCCCCAACCTAAAAAAAAAACCTAAAAAAAACAAACTAGCTCCCAGTAAAGTCAAACCCCTTGGACCTGCTCCAGCACCGTCGTCGTTTTCCACACCTATCATTGGCATGTACCTCCTAGATTGTAAGCTCCCGGGATCAACCCTCTTGTATTGAACTGTATTGTCTCCCTTTATATTGTACAGCGCTGAGCAAACTGTTGGCGCCATAAATCCTGTATAATAATAATAATAATGTATCAATGTCGTAAATCTGCATGTAAAACCTGTGGCGTTTGTCCGCCATGGCCAAAAAGAGTTCAGCGCCAAAGGCAAAAACTACCATCTGGATTCTGGATGATTTTTTTCAACCGCTCCTCCAATTTTTGTGGTGTATTGCCTCACGTGCCCACGTGTCTTCTCTGCGTGGGCCGTACCATTTGGACCCTTCCCCCCAGATTCGGCGAATGTCTTCTCCTTATTGAGGGCGGTGAGGACACGCACGGTGTTCCCAGACAGCAACAACTGTACTACAGGACTTCGAGTCTGGGTCATTGAAACCACGTCCACTCATTTCCCAGAGGCGGAGCGCTTCCATAAGCTCTGCCACAGGGAAACGTTGTGGATTCACACTCTTGATACACTGCCCCCTGCTGGTCTTAATGAGGAACTAGCGATGGCTACCGTACTATAGAATATCACCACATCATCTATCTAGGTATGGATCATCTATCCATACCTCGTTGTATCATTGTTTTCCCGTAATACCATTGGTTGTGTATGTACCCCGTACCATTTGTTAGAACACTTTGGATCTCCCACTATATTATCAGGACTTATACACAATTATGTATCATTATTATATATTATTATCTTGTTATATCCCCTTTATGACACGTTGGGTGGTCCGTCCCGCTCAGGTTACCTCTCCTTGTGTGCATTTTTCTTCCATCATGCCCTACTGCCTTAGATTCTTACATAGAGTGTGTGATAGGAGTCACTTTGGGTGCGGGGGCCCATGGAACACAGCTCACTTTGAAGAGGTGGGGAGACCCCTGTCTCAGCTCCCCATATCCCTCTTATGTGTAAGTCACCCTGTGCATGTTAGGGGTACAGGGTGATCTGTCCTAATATTGGGGTGGGGGGGGGGTTGTTGATTGTTTAATGCCATGTGGCTGCACCCCATTGTTCTATTGTGTGTCTTGCTTGGGAGCAAACTATTATAGGATGTATGTGTTTATGTGTATTGGCTTAGTGGGGGGGGGGGTGTCTCCAGCAGCCCTCCCTCCTGATGGGACTGTCTGCTGGTGTGAAGTTTGAATACCTGTGTGTCTCTTGTTACTAAATGTAGATTGCCCCGCCCTGTGTCATTATACAGGGAGGGGGGATTGTCCCCTGAGTGTATATATCTTGTATCTGTGTTCAAATAAACTAGTCTGCCTCCTGGTTTACTTCAGGACTGGTGTCGTCTAGTCTTGTATATGGTCGGCTGTGGTGTCTGTGGTCGGTGTTCGGACGGGGAAGCGGGAGTCTAACGAAGTACCCAAGTGCAGTCTGGGTCGGTTCCGTGACAGCGTGTATTTCTAGTGACTGCCATCCATATCACAACATGCTATGCTTTCATATGTACTTCTATAGACATGTACATGTATACATTCCCCCCCCCCGCGCGACCACACACGCAGAGATCTATACTGTACTGCTAATGGTTCTCTGCCAGATATCATCTACCCAACCTGGGCGGGTCGGTATTGGTCAGAATTCCTCATTGTGTCCACACTGATCTAGGTAGGATTGTCATGTGTGTGTATACAATCATAGCCACATATATACTACCATACAGGGGCGGACTGACCATTTGGGAAAGTCGGGCCTGGGGTCAGTAGGGGGCCCCATGAGATGCTCCTGATACCTTCCATAGGCTTTTTTGGATGTGGTTTGAGTGTGGGCGAGGACACAGGGGCCCCATGATCCCCTATTGCCCGGGGTCCCCATGAGTTGTGAATCCACCCCTTCTACCATACAGTCCACATTGGTTGGATGAGTACCCACAGATTGGTGTTGTGCTTTCATTTTTATATTTTATTTTCATTTATTGTGCTTTGTAGACTCCTCCCTTGTCTGTATACATCACGTCCCTATTTCCAGCCTTGTAATTCATCCCCCCCCCCCCCCTCTTTTTTTTTTTTTTTTTTTGGTTTTTTTATTTCCCATCTTTTATTTCTTCCTTTTTTTATTATCTTTGATTTCTCATTCATTTTTTATAATTCATTTTCATGTTTTTATTCATTTTCTATATTCTTTTCTCCTCACACCTTCCCGGGTCCTTCCTTCCGGGTCCGTTTTTTTTTGCACAAGTTAAAAAAAAATTTTAGGCCTGAAGATTATATAAAACCCCCAAACATGAGATATTTTTTCTGAAAGCAGACCTTCGTGGTAATATCATGTGACAGAAACTGGAACTACCGCTCTTTTATGCTCTAGAGCAGGGGTCTCCAAACTACGGCCCTCCTGCTGGAAGTACTACAAGTCCCATCATGCCTCTGGGAGTCTTGCCTGTGGCTGTCAGAGTCTTGCAAGGCCTCATGGGACTTGCAGTTCCTCAGCACCTGGAGGGCCGTAGTTCGGAGATCCCTGATGTAGAGCATAAAAGAGCGGTAGGTCCAATTTATGTCACATGATATCACCGCGAAGGTCTAGGAAACCCAAAATTCCAGTAAAAAAATACACTTCATTTTAGGGCACAAAACTGCAATAAATTACACATTTTTGGTGGTGAAATATAAAAGATGAAGTTGTATAGAGTTCTACATGCGCTCGTCAGATGGAAAAACTATGTGTGCTACATGCAGAGACAAGGTGGAGTCCCGAGGGACAATGTATGTCGATCACATGAAGGACACTGTGGGATGATCTATTTCCAAAACATGCAGAAAAATGTGGGGTCCCATGGAGCAATGTATGTCCTAGAAATGTAATACCGTGAGATTGTGGGAGAATCTGCAATATATCACCAAAAGTGTTGGCCCCACCCTCCCAATCATGTGATTTAGGTGTTCCAATCCCCTCCCAATCATGTGATTCAAGTGTTCCAATCCCCTCCCAATCATGTGATTCAGGTGTTCCAATCCCCCCTCCCCAATCGTGATTCAGGTGTTCCAATCCCCTCCCAATCATGTGATTCAGGTGTCCCAATCCCCCACCCCATCATGTGATTCAAGTGTTCCAATCCCCTCCCAATCGTGATTCAGGTGTCCCAATCCCCTCCCAATCATGTGATTCAGGTGTTCCAATCCCCTCCCAATCATGTGATTTAGGTGTTCCAATCCCCCTCCAATCATGTGATTCAAGTGTTCCAATCCCCTCCCAATCGTGATTCAGGTGTCCCAATCCCCTCCCAATCATGTGATTCAGGTGTCCCAATCCCCTCCCAATCATGTGATTCAGGTGTCCCAATCCCCTCCCAATCATGTGATTCAAGTGTTCCAATCCCCCCTCCCAATCGTGATTCAGGTGTCCCAATCCCCTCCCAATCATGTGATTCAAGTGTTCCAATCCCCTCCCAATCATGTGATTCAAGTGTTCCAATCCCCTCCCAATCATGTGATTCAGGTGTTCCAATCCCCTCCCCTCCCAATCATGTGATTCAGGTGTTCCAATCCCCTTCCGATTATGTGATTCAGCTGTACCAATCCCCTCCCAACCATGTGATTCAGGTGTTCCAGTCCCCTCCCAATCATGTGATTCAGGTGTTCCAATCCCCTCCCAATCATGTGATTCAGGTGTTTCAATCCCCTCCCAATCATGTGATTCAGGTGTTCCAATCCCCTCCCGACCATGTGATTTCAGCTGTTCCAATCCCCTCCCGACCATGTGATTTCAGCTGTTCCAATCCCCTCCCGATCATGTGATTCAGGTGTCCAATCCCCCCCTCCAGATCATGTGATTCAGGTGTTCCAATCCCCTCCCAATCATGTGATTCAGGTGTTCCAATCCCCTCCCAATCATGTGATTCAGGTGTTCCAATCCCCTCCCAATCATGTGATTCAGCTGTACCAATCCCCTCCCGACCATGTGATTTCAGCTGTTCCAATCCCCTCCCAATCATGTGATTCAGGTGTTCCAATCCCCTCCAGATCATGTGATTCAGGTGTTCCAATCCCCTCCAGATCATGTGATTCAGGTGTTCCAATCCCCTCCCAATCATGTGATTCAGGTGTTCCAATCCCATCCATGGACACAGGTGTATACAATCCATCCCCTAGGCATGCAGACGGCTTCTACAAACATTGGTGAAAGAATGGGTCGCTCTCAAAGGAGCTCAGTGACTCCAAGCGTGGTCCCGTGATAGGTGGTCACCTGTGCAATAAGTCCATCCGTGACATTTCCTGGCTACTAAATATTCCACGCTCAACTGTTAGTGGGATTATAACAAAGTGGAAGCAACTGGGAACAACAGCCACTCAGCCACCAAGTGGTAGGCCACGTCACATGACAGGGCGGGGTCAGCGCATGCTGAAGCGCACAGTGCGCAGAAAGTCGCCAACTGTCTGCAGAGTCAATAGCTAAAGACCTCCAAACTTGGTGTGGCCTTCAGATGAGCCCAACAACAGTGCGTAGAGAGCTTCATGGAATGGGTTTCAATGGCCGAGCAGCTGCATCCAAGCCTTATATCACCAAGTGCAATGCAAAGTGTTGGATGCCGTGGTGTAAAAGCACGCCGCCACTGAACTCTAGAGCAGTGGAGACGTGTTCACTGGAGGGACCAACTCACGCTCCTTTGTGTGGCAATCCGATGGACATGTCTGGGTTTGGCGGTGCTTGCCTGACTGCATTGTGCCAAGTGTAAAGTTTGGTGGAGGGGGGATTATGGTGGGGGGTTGTTTTTCAGAGGTTGGGCTTGGCCCCCTAGTTCCAGTGAAGGGAACTCTTAAGGTGACATTGTGGACAATTTAATGCTCCCAACTTTGTGGGAAGAGTTTGGGGATGGCCCCTTCCTGTTGCAACATGACTGCCCACCAGTGCACAAAGCAAGGTCCATAAAGACATGGAGGAGCCAGTTTGGGGTGGAGGAACTTGACTGTCCTGCACAGAGTCCTGACCTCAACCCCATAGAACACCTTTGGGATGAATTAGAGCGGAGACTGCGAGCCATCAGTGGCAGGGGTGGACTGACCATTTGGAAACTCGGGCACTGCCCGAGGGCCCGGGGTCAGTAGGGGGCCCCATGAGATGCCCCTGGTATCTTTTTCATAGGCTTTTTTGAGTTTGGGCAAGGACACAGGGGCCCCATGAGCTCCTATTGCCCGGGGGGCCCCATGAGTTGTCAGTCCGTCCCTGATCAGTGGGGAAAAAAAATTGTTCCAGCAGTGAAAGGGTTAATTGTCCCCCAACACAGGGAAAGGAATGGATACATTGTATATAAAGGAGGAAGATCTCCATCAATGGATACATTTCTTTGAGACGTACAGGAAGTATACACCCCTCCCCCCTCTCTGAGCCACAAGAAAATGGAGGACATCCCTGCCCCCTCTTTGAGCTACAAGAAAATGGAGGACGCCCCTCCTCCACCTAAAGCTACAAGAAAATGGAGGATGCCCCCTCCCCCTGTCAGAGCTGCAAGAAAATGGGGGCAGTGAGGACTCCCCTCCTCCTCCTCCATCTGTTACTGCAGCCAGAGATAGACAAGAGGCTGAAGGAAAACCGTCTATAGAGATCGGGTAAGAATGGGGGGCTATGGAGGGGCAATGGGGGGAGGGGCAGTAACAGGGATTGCACACCAATACACTGACAAAAGAAAAGAATCTACACAGACAGAATTACCCGAGAGAAACATTTCACACACAGATCACCTACCTCCACACAGATCACCTCCCCCCCCCCACAGATCACCTACCTCCCCCCTACACAGATCACCTACCTCCCCACACACACACAGATCACCTCCCCCCCCCCCCCCACACACAGATCACCTCCCACCCACACGGATCACCTACCTCCACCCCCACACAGATCACCTCCCCCCCACACAGATCACCTACCTCCCCCCCCCCACAACAGATCACCTCCCCCCCCACACAGATCACCTACCCCCCCCCCCCCCCCCACACAGATCACCTACTCCCCCCCACACACACACACAGATCACCTACCTCCCCCCCCCACACAGATCACCTCCCCCCCACACAGATCACCACCTACCCACCCCACCACCAACCACCTCACCATCACCACCCCCCCCCCCACACAACAACCTACCTCCCCCCCCCCCACACAGATCACCCCCCCCCACCCCCACACACACCTATCCCCCCCCCCCCCCACCCCACACAACACCTACCCCCCCCACCCCACACAGATCACCTACCTCCCCCCCCCCCCACACAGATCACCCAACAAATCCCCCCCCCCCACACAGATCACCTACCTCCCCCCCACACAGATCACCTACCCCCCCCACAACAATCACCTACCTCCCCCCACACACACAGATCCCAAAACCTACCTCCCCCACACAATCACCTACCCCCCCCCCCACACAAATCACCTACCACCCCCCCCCCCCACCAAACACCTACCCCCCCCACACATAAACCATCACCTACCTCCCCCAAACACACACCCCCAACCCCCCACCCACAACACAACCAACTCACCTACCTCCCCCCCAAAACAAACAGATCACCCCCAACCTCACCTCCCACAACAGATCACCTACCTCCCCCCAACACACATACCCCACCTACCTCCCTCACACCAACACACACACACCACCTCCCCCCCCCCCCAAGATCACCTACCTCCCCCCACATAGATCACCTACCAACCCCCCCCCACACACACATCCAAACCTACCCCCCCCAAACCCCCACCTACAACACATATCACCTACCCCCCCCCCCACACACACAGACACCCAAGACCCCCCCACCCACACCTACCCACACAACACCACAACCCTACACCACCCAAACCCCCCCACCCACACACAAACACAGATCACCCCCTCCCCCCACCACCACCACCACCTACCCCCCCCCCCCCCCACACACAAATCACCTACCTAACCACCTCACCCCCCCAACACAGATCACTACCACCCCACAACCCACACACACACAATCACCTACCCCCCCCCCACCACACACAACCTTCCCCCAATCACCCTACCAACCCCCCAGATCACACAAATCAACACCCCCCCCCACAGATCACCCAACCCCCCCCCCCCCCCAAAAACACCCCAACCCCCCCCACCTATCACACACACAAACACCTACCACCCCCCCCCAACCTACCCAAACAGATCACCACCTCCCCCCACACCCACCCACCCATCACAACAATAAACACACATCAATAAAAACCCACCTCCCCCCACACACACAGATCACCTACCACCCCCCCCCCCCCCAAACATCCACCTACCCCAACCAACCCCCCACCAATCACACAATCCACCCACACCCCCCCCCAAACACAGATCACCTACCCCCCACACACACACAGATCACCAAACCCACCACCCTCAACACACACACAGATCACCTACCTCTCCCCCCCCAAAACAACAGATCACCTACACCCCCCCCCCCCACACACAGATCACCTACCCACCCCCCCACACACAAACCTACCCCCCTACCCCCCCCACACCCCTACACACCCCCACCCCCCCCCACCCAACACACAGATCACCTACCCCCCCCCACCACAAGATCACCACAACCTCCCCACACACACACAAACCTCCCCACCCCCACACACACACAGATCCCCTACTCCCCCCCCCAACACACAGATCACCCCACCCCACCCCCCACCCCCACACACAGACCATCACCTACCCCCCCCAACACACACCACACACCACCCCACACCCCCCCCCCACACACACAGATCAAAAAATGCTCTTTTATTGAAGGATGAGGATCATATGAAGCCATTTATTATCACATAGTTGATTGGCTCCTTTTTAAATCATAATGATAACAGAAATCACCCAAATGGCCCGGATCAGAAGTCTCCGCCCTCGGATCAGAAGTCTCCGCCCTCGGATCAGAAGTCTCTGCCCCCGGATCAGAAGTCTCCGCCCCTGTATCAGAAGTCTCTGCCCCCTGGAATGTTCGGCCTTGGTACAGACACACACGGGTTACAATGCCAATTAGAGGTTAATGTCCCACATCTGTGGCTTTTTAAATTGCAATCAGTGTCAGTGTAATAGTAATTGGGTTTGTTCGCTCTCACGTGGAAGCACTGACTAGGCTAGATACTGAGCCATGAGGAGCAGAAAAGAACTTTCAAAAGTCCTGCGTAACAAGGTGATGGAACTTTATAAAGATGGAAAAAGACATAAAAAGATGTCCTTGAATATGCCAATCATCTCTTCCACTAAGAAGTAGAAAATTCAGGGACCTCTTGATACCAAGCCAAGGTCAGGTAGACAAAAAAAGATTGCAGCCACAACTGCCAGAAGAATTGTCCGGGATTCAAAGGGAAAACCATAGGTGACCACAAGAAAAATCCAGGCTGCTCTGGAAAAAGACTGTGGTTGTATTGACTGAGCACAATATGATGACACTTGAACAAAAATGAGCTGCATGGTGGAGGTGCCAGAAAGAAGCCTTTACTGCACCATTGACACAGAAGGCTCGGTAAGGCATGTCAAGGTGTTGTCAGGCATATTGTAACCGGGCTTTTTTGTGGCATTGGTGCAGTAAGAGCCTCTTTCTGGCACCTCCACCATGCAGCTCATTTTTGTTCAAGTATCACCGTATTGTACTCCTTAACCTCTTCCAGTCCGGACACTTTCATCCCCTTCCAGTCCGGACGCTTCCCCCCCCTTCCAGTCCGGACACTTTCATCCCCTTCCAGTCCGGACGCTTCCCCCCCGGACCTTTCCCCCCACCTTCCCCTGACCCCCTAACTTCCAGTCCGGACACTTTCCCCCCCCTTCCAGTCCGGACACTTTCCCCCCCCCTTCCAGTCCGGACTTTACTTTCCCCCCCTTCCAGTCCGGACACTTTCCCCCCCTTCCAGTCCGGACACTTTCCCCCCCCTTCCAGTCCGGACGCTTTACCCCCCTTCCAGTCCGGACACTTTCCCCCCCTTCCAGTCCGGACACTTTCCCCCCCTTCCAGTCCGGACGCTTTCCCCCCCCCTTCCAGTCCGGACACTTTCCCCCCCTTCCAGTCCGGACGCTTTCCCCCCCCTTCCAGTCCGGACGCTTTCCCCCCCCCCCTTCCGGACGGACTTTCCTGTCCGGATGCTTTCATCCCCTTCCAGTCCGGACGCTTTCATCCCCCTTCCAGTCCGGACACTTTCATATCCCCTTCCAGTCCGGAACTTTCCCCCCCCTTCCAGTCTGGACACTTCCCCCCCTTCCATTCCAGTCCGGACGCTTTCCCCCCCCTTCCAGTCCGGACGCTTTCCCCCCCCCCCTTCCAGTCCGGACGCTTTCCCCCCCCGCCTCCTGTCCAGGCCAATTTTCAGCTTTCGGTGCTGTCACACTTGGAATGACAATTGCGCGGTCATGCAGCACTGTACCCATATGAATTTTTTTGAGACAGATAAAGCTTTATTTTGGTGGTATTTATTCACCGCTGGGATTTTTATTTTTTTTTTTTTTGCTGTGTATAAATGAAAAAGTCCAAAAATTTTGAAAAAAAAGTGTTTTTTCTTATAAAATTTTGCAAAAAAAAAATTTCATCATAAATCTTGGCCAAAATGTATTCAGTTATCTTTTTAGTAAAAAAAAAACCCCAAAGTAGTGTATAACCAAAAATTATAATTTTAAAACATTTTTTTTACAGTTTTATTTTATTTTATATTATTTGTTTTGTTTTTTTGTTTTACATACTGTCACCCTAGAAGTAGAGTGTCACCATAGTGACACTGTACTACTTGTGGGCGGTGATGAAGATTTTTTTTTTTTTTTTTTACACCGATTGCTTTTACACCCATAAAGGCTGTAAAAACAATCATTTCTCCCTTTCTCTGGCTGCATTCTTGCAGCCATTGAGAAAATACTGTGTGAGCTGTGATTGGTCACAGCTTGTCACATGGTACAAGGCTGTTGTGAATGGCCCTGTACCATGTGACCTCTGTGATCATTCACAGATTTCACATGTAGTAAGCAATGATGTCAAAAGTGACATCTTGATTACTACTCTGCATGTGATCACTGATTGGCCAATCAGTGGTCACATGATCAGTACCAGGCACAGAGGTCCCGTCCAACGATCGGTGTTCCACTGTGTCTGGAGGACACAGCGGGCACCGGATCGCGGTGCTGCGTGCTCCCAGGGAGTGCGCACAAGCAGGGTGTGAGGAGGCTGTTTATAAACGTGGCCACCCAACCCTGCACTGCTCTCGTCCGGCTGTTTATATACAGCGGCAGGACGGGAGGTGGTTAAACAACCACAACATCTTTTTCCAGAGCAGCCTGGATTTCTTTTGAGGTCCTGTAGGGGGGGGGGTTTCATTGAATCCCGGACAATTCTTCTGGCAGTAGTGGCTGCAATCTTTCTTGGTCTACCTGACCTTGGCTTGGTTTCAAAAGATCCCCGAACTTTCCACTTCTTAATAGGTGATGTAACAGCAATGATTGGCATATTCAAGGCTTTGGACATCTTTTTATGTCCTTTTTTTATCTTTATAAAGATCTATTACCTTGTTACGCAGGTCTTTTGACAGTTCTTTTCTGCTCCCCATGGCTCAGTATCTAGCCTAGTCAGTGCTTCCACGTAAGAGCTAACAAACTCATTGACTATTTATACACTGACACTGGTTGCAAATTAAAAAGCCACAGATGTGGGACATTAACCTCTAATTGGCATTGTAACCCGTGTGTGTCACCTTGTGTATCTATACCAAGGCCAAACATTCCTGGGGGCGGAGACTTCTGATCCGGGGGCGGAGACTTCTGATCTGGGCCATTCGGGTCATTTCTGTTATCTTTATGATTTAAAAAGGAGCCAAACAACTATGTGATAATAAATGTCTTCATATGATCACTATCCTAAATAAAAGACAGTTTTTTGGCATGATGAGTCATATTTTTAACCCCTTCGCGCCGGCGCCTCTTGGCCCTTTAAGGCTTTCAGGAGGCGGGGCGGGGTTTAGGGTCATGTGACCCGCTGTGACACGCCGTCATAGCGGTCACATGATCGGGAAAGATCCCGACCGAACGGAGATCGGGACCTTCCCGTGAGTACCGGACGTGTGCTGGGAGGAGCAGGGCACGCGCTCTCAGCACATATGTTCTTTTTTAATAGAACGCAAAGGTGCGGACGCTTGGCGTCTAGGCCCAGACACGGGGGAGGACGCACATTTGCGTTTGTCCGGCATGAAGAGGTTAATAAAATGTCAAAATGTCATGATTTCTGCCAGGGTATGCAAACTTTTGAGCACAACTGTAACATTAAATAATCAACAACCCCCACCCCTCACCTATCTCCTAAACATGTCTACACAGTCTGAGACAAAGCCCCCCACATATTAGGACAGATCACCCTGTACCCCTAACAGGCACAGGGTGACTTACACATAAGAGGGATATGGGGAGCTGAGACAGGGGTCTCCCCACCTCTCCAAAGGGGGCTGTGTTCCATGGCCCCCTACCCAAAGTGACTTTCGTCACATATCTCTCCTTACGTCAGGGGTCTAACACAGGAGGAAACCCCACACAGCTAGTCTCCAAAGTTAGTCTGTACTTCCAGTCCCCCAATGCCAGCACCCCCACAGTACCCCAAACAAATTGTCCCACACCAAGCATTACTCACCCAGCCAACCTCTGCCTCTCTCGTAGAACATACCCACCGCTGGGGAGAAGTACGGACTGGTCCTTCTCCCTGAAGTCCTCTCAGCCGCTTGAGAGAAGACAGGGTGGCTGGGCCGGCTCCATCATGCTGTGGGGGATCTGGGCCGACTGCCCAGCATCCCTGGGGTATCCAGGTGGTGACTGTATTCTCATCCACTTTGACTTGATGGACATCCCCCAGTGTTCGCAAAGTAAGGCTGACATCCTCCTGTCCCAATGCCAGACCCTATTCTGGGGTTGTGTCAGTGGAGACCGAAGTCCCATCCACGGACATCAGCTCAAGCTGCCGTTGTGAGGTGCCGATTGCATCCTCTTCCTGTAGCTCCTGCGGTGCTGATTGTTGTGGGCAGAGGTCAACCACGCCATGTCCTGATGCCAGCTCTTCTGCTGGAGATGTGGTGGCTGGTTCCTCCTCAGCAGAAAAGTCAATCAAATCCCCAGTCTCTGGAACTGGTATCTGGGAATAGGGGTTCACCATCTCCTGTCCGTGGAACCCAGAAGATGTTACCAGTGCTGGGCAGAGGCTAGCAGAGCTCTGCCCTTTTGTCAGCACTTCAGGTTTGTGGACGGCAATCTCTGGAATTTCCACTGCCGATTCTTGGGCATGCTGCTGAACATGTCCTAGCAGTTGCCTGTATGCCCTTTCCAGATCCTTTTCTTTCATCAGCAGGTATTCCAGATCTGGTTTAAGCTCTGAGACCCCTGTGAGACCGAACATAGCCTCTCTGTATTCTCGCAGGTCCTCAAGGGTAGGTTCTCCTTCATTGCCAAACACAAAATGATCTGTAAGGCTCTCCCACAGCAATCCAGGACCACCAAAGTCCTATCCCTCTGAAGAGCACTCTGTTGTCACCCCTAAATATTTCTGCTCTGCGTACCATTGCAGAGCCCGATATCGGTTGTCCAGCTCTATCTCCTGCTGGACCAGCCTGTCCAACTCAGTCACCCATTGCTCCTGGGGTCGCTCTCCCCAGGAATGGCATCCGTAACTTCCTATGGTCCCTGGCCTGTTCCGCTGGGGTTGGATAGCATTTGCCCTTGTCCATACCAGCAACCTGCAGAGCTCCACTCCAAAGCACCACCCCGAATCCGCTGCCTGAGCTCCAGGTACTGATACGTAGATACAGTCCTGGGGTATGTTGCAAGAACGATCCGCAGCATCCCCCGGGAACTCTGATGCCAGGTCCACATCTCCACTGGGGTGACCCGACATCTACTTTCCTGATCTTGAATCCCGGTGGTGGTTTGGATGTGTTCACAGCTTGGAAGCATAATCCCACCGTTTGCCACCAATGTCACGGAACCAACCCCCAGGGGTGTATTTACCCCAAGGCAAACAAGGCATTTGCCTGAGGCGGCATTTTTTAGAGGGCAGCACTGCCCCCTGGAAGAAGAGACATATGCGGTATTGGACCAGGTGGGATTGAGAGAGGCTGCTTGATGGTGTATGCAGAGCCCAACTGTCATTCCTGGGGATGTCCAGAGCTGTAAAGGTGCGTGTCTTTCTGTGGCCATGCGGGGGGGTGTTAGTGGAAGACTCTCTTGGGTGGGGGGGGGGTTATGGGGCAGGGGTGTTGTTGGTCACTGTCAGACTCTCTCCATGGGGGGGTCTGGTGTTGGTTGGTGTAAGGCTTTCTCTCTCTGCCGGGAAGGGGGGGGAGATTGATTTTTGTGTTGCTTAGGGCAGCACAAAACCTAAATACACCACTGCCGACCCAGACTGCGCTTGTGAACTTCCGTTAGAATACCGCCTCCCGTCCGAACATCCGACCACGACCACAGACACCACCGCTGACCATACAAGACTAGACAAGACCAGTCCTGAAGTAAACCAGGAGGTAGACTACTTATTTCAACACAGTTACATGATATATACACTCGGGACAGTCCCCCCTCCCTGCATAATGACACAGGGCGGGGCAATCTACATTTAGTAACAAGAGACACACAGGTATTCAAACTTCACACCAGCAGACAGTCCCATCAGGGGGGAGGGCTGCTGGAGACCACCCCTCCCCACTAAGCCAATACACATAACCACATACAGTTGTGTTCAAATTAATAGCAGTGTGTTGAAAAAAGTGACTAAAGCTGCAAATCCTTCTAATCCTTTTATTTCCATCCACACAAAACAACGCATTGGGAACACGACACATTCTATTCCAAATCACAACATGAAGAAAAATACATCAAATTTGTGTTGTTCCTCTAAAAAAATGGAAGAAAAGTGAATATTAGACGGTTCAAAAAAATGGCCGTGTTTGTATTCTTCTTTACAAACTCAAACATTCACTATATAAAAAAACTGAGAAATGTTTGAAGATTTTGCTTTCCTTTGAATGACTTCATGAATATTTGGTTGTAGTCGCACTGTTTCTGAGAACTGCTGTACATCTGTGTTGCATGGAGTCCCCCAACTTCTGGCCCCTGTGATCAGGTATTCCAGCCCAGGATGATTGGACCACATTCCACAGTTCTTCTCTATTTCTTGGTTTTGCCTCAGAAACGGCATTTTTGATGTCACCCCACACAAGTTTTCTATTGGATGAAGATCCGGGGATTGGGCTGGCCACTCCATAACGTCCATCTTGTTGGTCTGGAACCAAGATGTTGCCCGTTTACTGGGTGTTTTGGGGTCGTTGTCTTGTTGGAACACCCATTTCAAGGGCATTTCCTCTTCAGCATAAGGCAGCATGACCTCTTCAAGTATTCTGATGGATTCAAACTGATCCATGATCCCTGGTATGCGATAAATAGGCCCAACACCGTAGTATGAGAAACATCCCCATATCATGATGCTTGCACCACCATGCTTCACGGTCTTCACAGTGTACTGTGGCTTGAATTCAGTGTTTGGGGGTCGTCTGACAAACTGTCTCCGCCCACTAGACCCAAAAAGAACAATCTTACTTCCATCAGTCCACAAAATGTTGCGCCATTTCTCTTTAGGCCGGTCAATGTGCTCTTTGGCAGATTGTAACCTCTTCAGCACACGTCTTTTTCCCAACAGTGGGACTTTGCGGGGACTTCTTGCAGATAGCTTGGCTTCACATCGGCGTCTTCTAATTGTAACAGTCCTCACAGGGAACGTCACACCTTCTTTCATCTTCCTGGAGCTGATTGTTGGCTGAGTCCTCACAGGGAACGTCACACCTTCTTTCATCTTCCTGGAGCTGATTGTTGGCTGATCCGCCCATTTTGGCTATTCTTCTATCCATTGCCAATGGTAGTTTTTCGCTTTCTTCTTCCACGTCTTTCAGGTTTTGGTTGCCATTTTAAAGCATTTGCCATCATTTTAGCTGAGCAGCCCGATCATTTTCTGCACTTCTTTATATGTTTTTCCCCTCTCCAATCAACTTTTTAATCAAGGTACGCTGTTCTTCTGAACAATGTCTGGAACGACCCATTTTCCTCAGAATTTCAGAGAGAAATGCACTGTAAACCAGCATGTCCAACATTTGCTGCCTTCCTTCCTTAAATAAGGGCAATAATTGCCACCTGTTTATCAAAGAATGAATGACCTCACTAATAGAACTCCACACGGCTATTATTGTGAACACGCCCCTCAATGAGTGATTCAATGACACAGAATCAGCAGCATGCATGTCATGACTGTCGGGTCTGTTGGATTTCTATGACTCTACTACACCCTGCTAGGAAATTATTATTGCCATGTAGAAATATCATTTCCACCAAAAACAGTGATTGATCCGGTTAGTGATGTCTGACTGCTAGTATTTTCAACACAACTGTACATCCCATAATAGTTTGCTCCCAAGCCATACAAACAACAGAACAATGGGATGCAACCACATGACATTAAACAATCAACAACCCCCCCACCCCAATATTAGGACAGATCACCCTGTACCCCTAACAGGCACAGGGTGACTTATACATAATAGGGATATGGGGAGCTGAGATAGGGTTCTCCCCCCACCTCTCCAAAGTGAGCTGGGTTCCATGGGCCCCCCCCACCCAAAGTGACTCCCGTCACACAGATCACCTACCCCCCCCCCACACACATCACAGATCACCTACCCCCCCCACACACACACACATATCACCTAACCCCCCCCCCACACACACACAGATCACCTACCCCCCACACACACAGATCACCTACCCCCCCCCACACACACAGATCACCTACCCCCCCCCCCCCCACACACAGATCACCTACCTACCACACACATAGATCACCTATTTCCTCTACACACACAAATCACATACCTTCCCCCCCCCACACAGGATCACCTACCTCCCACCCACAGATCAACTACCTCTCTCCACACACAGATCACCTACCCCCCCCCCCATACACAGATCACCTACCCCCCCCCATACACAGATTTCCCCCCCCCACACACACAAACACAGATCACCTACCTCCCCCCACACACCCACACACACACCACCTACCCCCCCACACACACACAGATCACCTACCTCCCCACACACACACATACACACAGATCACCTACCTCCCCCCCCCACACACACACACCACCCCCACACACACAGACCCCCACCCCCCCCCCCCCCACCACACAACACCCCCCCCCCCCCCCCCCCACACCACACAGATCACCTACCCCCCCACACCCCACACCAGATCACCCCCTCCCCCCCCCACACAGATCACCTACCCCCCCCATACACAGATCACCCCCCCCCCACACACAAACACAGATCACCTACCTCCCCCCCACACACAGAACACCTACCTCCCCCCACACACACACACCCCATCACCCCCCCCCCCCCACACACACTCACACACAGTTCACCTACCTCACCCCCCCCACACACCCCTCCCCCCCCTCCCCACCCCCCACCTCCACCCCACACAGATCACCTATCTCCCCCCACACTCACAGATCACCTACCCCCCCCCCACCCACTCCCAGATCACCTAACTCCCCCCACACACACACACTCACAGATCACCTATCTCCCACACACACACATACACACAGATCACCCCCCCCCCACACACACACCACACCCACCTACCTCCCCCCCCCCCCCCCACACACACACACAGATCATCCCTCCCCCCCCCCCACAAACCACACAGATCACCCACCTCCCCCCCCACACTCACACAGATCACCTACCCCCCCACACACACAGATCACCTACCTCCCCCATACACACACAGATCACCTACCTCCCACCCCCCCCACACACAAGATCACCTACCTACCTACACACACAGATCACCTTCCTCCTACGCCCACACACACTCACAGATCACCACCCCCCCCCCCACACACACACACACACATCACCCCCCCCTCTCCACACACGACACATGGCCTGCAAACACAAACAATGGGACCTGTGCTAAATAGCCGTCCTAATCAGCCGAGAGGCAACATTATGTTGGTTACCCTACCTGATAATCCGGCTGCCAGTGCCCACCCCTAAAGGTGTGCTTATGTGACCTGCAATGCAGTCCCCAAATCCAGAGGGACTAACCTGTGTTATTGAGGTACTCCCTGTATGGGAGGGGTTGTATCGGAGAGGACTTCCTGTCTTTTTTGCCAGTATGTAGTCACCTGTAGGTGGTGCATAACCCTATGAGTAAGGTATATTTGTCATTGCTGGCCTCTTTGACTCTCCCTTTTCTCTGCCATCTCCCTCCTGGCAGAGCGTATCGGATCCAACGAGGGAAAAGGGGAGAAGGTGCCAATGGAAGCCTCAGAGAGAACCTGTAGTGCAGACACCATGCATGATAGGAGTTGTGGTTCTTAAAGAGGTATTACACCATACTTATTAATGGAGGAGACTATGGCTGCTGGACGACAACTCCCACAAAGCCTTGCTAAAGAAGAGGACAGAGCAGGGTTTCATGAGTAAATTCTACCAGAAGAGGGCAGAGTAGTGGAGACCACTGGAGTCAGGTGTCCATGTTGTGGGAGCCATTCCAGAGAGAGATAGAGCCATCACAAAGTCTCCACAGTGCGGGGCAAACAGTGAGGACAGTGCTGTGACCTGAATATGGAGAGCTGGAGACTCTGCCAGGGTACAGTCCCTAACCTCGGAAACCACTAAGCAACTTATTCCCTCCCTGGTGATCTCTCACCTTGACTATTGTAACTCCCTCCTCATTGGCCGACCTCATCGCAGGCTATCCCCTCTTCAGTCTATCATGAACGCTGCTGCCAGACTCATCCACCTTACTAACTGTTCCATATCTGCCACCCCTCTCTGCCAATCCCTCCACTGGCCTCCACTCAGTGTCCTCCACCCCTCTCTGCCAATCCCTCCACTGGCCTCCACTCAGTGTCCTCCACCCCTCTCTGCCAATCCCTCCACTGGCCTCCACTCAGTATCCTCCATCCCTCTCTGCCAATCCCACCACTGGCCTCCACTCAGTGTCCCTCCACCCCCCTCTGCCAATCCCTCCACTGGCCTCCACTCAGTGTCCTCCACCCCCCTCTGCCAATCCCTCCACTGGCCTCCACTCAGTATCCTCCATCCCTCTCTGCCAATCCCACCACTGGCCTCCTCTCAGTGTCCTCCATCCCTCTCTGCCAATCCCACCGCTGGCCTCCTCTCGGTGTCCTCCACCGCTCTCTGTCAATAATCCTGCGCTGGCCTCCACTCTGTGTCCTCCACCGCTCTCTGCCAATCCGTCCGCTGGCCTCCACTCTGTGTCCTCCACCCCCTCTGCCAATCCCTCCGCTGGCCTCCACTCTGTGTCCTCCACCCCTCTCTGCCAATCCCTCCGCTAGCCTCCACTCTGTGTCCTCCACCCCTCTCTGCCAATCCCTCCGCTGGCCTCCACCCTGTGTCCTCCACCCCTCTCTACCAATCCCTCCTCTGGCCTCCTCTCAGTGACCTCCACCCCTCTCTGCCAATCTCTCCGCTGGCCTCCACTCAGTGTCCTCCACCCCCCTCTGCCAATCCCTCCACTGGCCTCCACTCACTGTCCTCCACCCCTCTCTGCCAATCCCTCCACTGGCCTCCACTCAGGATCCTCCATCCCTCTCTGCCAATCCCTCCACTCAGTATCCTCCATCCCTCTCTGCCAGTCCCTCCACTGGCCTCCACTCAGTATCCTCCATCCCTCTCTGCCAATCCCACCACTGGCCTCCACTCAGTGTCCCACCACCCCTCTCTGCCAATCCCTCCACTGGCCTCCACTCAGTGTCCTCCACCCCCCTCTGCCAATCCCTCCACTGGCCTCCACTCAGTATCCTCCATCCCTCTCTGCCAATCCCACCACTGGCCTCTTCTCAGTGTCCTCCATCCCCTCTCTGCCAATCCCACCGCTGGCCTCCTCTCGGTGTCCTCCACCGCTCTCTGTCAATCCCTGCGCTGGCCTCCACTCTGTGTCCTCCACCGCTCTCTGCCAATCCGTCCGCTGGCCTCCACTCTGTGTCCTCCACCCCTCTCTGCCAATCCCTCCGCTGGCCTCCACTCTGTGTCCTCCACCCCTCTCTGCCAATCCCTCCGCTGGCCTCCACTGTGTCCTCCACCCCTCTCTGCCAATCCCTCCGCTGGCCTCCACCCTGTGTCCTCCACCCCTCTCTACCAATCCCTCCTCTGGCCTCCTCTCAGTGACCTCCACCCCTCTCTGCCAATCTCTCCGTTGGCCTCCACTCAGTGTCCTCCACCCCCCTCTGCCAATCCCTCCACTGGCCTCCACTCAGTGTCCTCCACCCCTCTGTTAATCCCTCCACTGGCCTCCACTCAGTGTCCTCCACCCCTCTCTGCCAATCCCTTCACTGGCCTCCACTCAAGTGTCCTCCACCCCTCTCTGTCAATCCCTCCACTGGCCTCCACTCAGTGTCCTCCACCCCTCTGCCAATCCCTCCACTGGCTCCACTCTGTGTCCTCCACCCCTCTCTGCCAATCCCTCCACTGGCCTCCACTCAGTGTCCTCCACCCCTCTCTGCCAATCCCTCCACTGGCCTCCACTCAGTGTCCTCCACCCCTCTCTGCCAATCCCTCCACCGGCTTCCCATTGCCCAATGGATAAAATTCAAGACATTAACAATATAACATGTAAAGCCATTTATAACTCTGCCACCAAAATTACATCACCGATCTTGTCTCCAAATATCACCGAAACCGTCCTCTCCACTCGCATAACCTCTTGCTCTCTAGCTCCCTTTTCTCCTCCTCCCATGCTCATCTCCAGGACTTCTCCAGAGCTTCCCCCATCCTCTGGAACTCTCTACCCCAATTTATCAGACTATCACTCTCAGGCGATCTCTGAAAACCTATCTCTTCAGGGAAGCCTATCCTGCCCTCAGGAATCTGGAATGGAATGGAATCTTCTACTTCTCCTACCAATCCATCCCCCACAGTTACTACCTTTTGTACCACTAGCCCCTCCCTCTTAGATTGTAAGCTCCCAGATCAGGCCCTCCTAACCCTCTTGTATTGTTGCTGTATTGTCTCCAGTTATATTTTAAAGCGCTGAGCAAACTGTTGGCGCTATATAAATCCTGTATAATAATATCAGAGTTGCCACAGACAACTCAGGACAAGGAGACACCTGCCTAAGGGAACCATTACTGCCAAATCTCAGGGTCTGGATGAGAAGGCCCTGCGGACACTACTTGCTGCCCCTCACTATAGACCTAGTCATCAGGAACCACCTAACTTGCCACACTATAGTTCTACAAATACTGCCTGCAAGCACTGTTGACTGACTTAAAGTGTGTCAGCGGTTTCCGGGCCCCATCACTTAGAGTCAGGACTAAAGACTGCCCTTAACTGTTACTGCTCCAAGGCCTTTGACCTTTGCTTAGTTAAAGAGGTCCCTCTTAGTAGGAGCTGTAAAGCACCTCAGCCAATCTTTTGGAGTGCACTCAAAACCAGAGACTTTTGGGGGTGGGGGGACCGCTTGGTCAGCTCATGTTCCCCTCATTATGTTTAACCCACCCTGTGCCTGTTAAGGGGTACAGGGTAAATGTGAATGTCCCAGTATTGTGTATAGTGTGTGCTCCTTTGTCCCTGCCATGTGGTTGCCCATTGTCTACTGCCATGTGGCCATTCCTTTGTTCTGGGCCACATGGCTGTCCATTGTTTGCTTGCCATGCCATGTGCTATCCCATTGTTCTGTGTCTTGGTTGGATGGGGAGGGGTGATGAGGTGTTTCCTGTCTATACTGTAGCCCTTCCCACTGATGGGGCGGACTGATGATGTGTTTCCTGTCCCTGGTTATGTTTCCCCGCCCTCTGTATATATCCTGTGTTTTTTGTGTAAAATAATGGTAGTTGGCTTCCTGTTTTAAGAAGAGCTGGGTGTTGTCTATTTCCTGAGGGATTTCAAGGGTGTGGTCCGTAGATGGTGTTCGGACAGGGGAAGCTGCGGTATAACGGAATATACCCAAGTGCGGTCGGGTACCGGTTCCGTTATAATTAGTATCATTCATACTTCATGTTTATCCACATTGATTATTGCTGTTTTGCAAACTCACGTATTTATTTCAATTAGTGACATAGAACCTGATCGTAGTCACTTTGACATACAGCAGTGATCACTCTGCCTAACATACTGTATCAGAATTTACTTTCTGTGTGTTTTTTTTTCCTTTTTTTTTTTTTTGCATTCTTTATTTAGAGTGTAACGGAACTGACCCCAGACTGCACTTCGGTACTTCCGTTAGAATACCGCTTCCCTGTCCGATCATCGACAACAGACACCACAGCCGACCATACAAGACTAGACGACACCAGTCTTGAAGTAATCCAGAAAGTAGACTAGTTTATTTTAACACAGATATAAGATATATACACGCAGGGGACAATCCCCCCTCCCTGCATAATGACACAGGGTGGGGCCATCTACATTTAGTAACAAAAAAAACACCAACAGACAGTCCCATCAGGAGGGAGGGCTGCTGGGACACCCCCCCACCAAGCCAATACACATAAACACATACATCCCATAATAGTTTGCTCCAAAGCCAGACAGGGGTCTCCCCACCTCTCCAAAGTAAGCTGGGTTCCATGGGCCCCCACCTAAAGTGACTAAAGGTCTTCCAATACAGATACACAGAGGATAACACAAAAGATAACATCAGAAAAAGTGTGGTCAGAGAGCACCAATCCATACAGAATGGTTAAGAAAGATACGTCATACAAGCAGCTAAGCTAGGCTTTGAAGCTACAGATGGCAATGGGAATTGAGGCCTAAATGGGTATAGGAGGCCTAACAGCAGCAATCATATGAGCTTACAGAAAATGAGTCCTCGTAGCATTAACATACAATCTGAGGGTATGGAGGCAGGGGTCTGTCTCTATAAAAGGTGATCCAATCACCTATCGTGATTGGTGTTGCATGGATGCTAGGGGGACCCACCACCCCAATACAATGACCAGAGGGGACCGGTATGTACGGTGAGTCACACAGATAAAAGAAAAAAGGGGAGGGGGGCGGGGAAAGGGAGGGAGAGTAAGGGTGCAATTGGGGACATACACCTACCTGCAAAGCCACTGAGAGGGACCCCGGCAGTATTCACCTCATGAATGCTAAAAGGCAGCTCATAGGAGCCAGAGAAAAAGGGAATATAATTCTGGGATGCATCACTAGAAGGGTTGCCAGCAGGAGGAAGGAGGTCCTGATTCCTCTATATAGATCTTTATATCACTAGAGGGTCACCACAGGAGGAAGGAGGTCCTGATTCCTCTATATAGATCTTTATATCACTAGAGGGGTCACCGGCAGGAGGAAGGAGGTCCTGATTCTTCTATAATAGATCTTTATATCACTAGAGGGGTCACCGGCAGGAGGAAGGAGGTCCTGATTCTCTATATAGATCTTTATATCAGTAGAAGGGTCACCGGCAGGAGGAAGGAGGTCCTGATTCCTCTATATAGATCTTTGTATCACTAGAGGGGTCACCGGCAGGAGGAAGGAGGTCCTGATTCCTCTATATAGATCTTTATATCACTAAAGGGTCACCGGCAGGAGGAAGGAGGTCCCGATTCCTCTATATAGATCTTATACTAGAGTGGTCACCGGCAGGAGGAGGAGGTCCTGATTCCTCTATATAGATCATTATATCACTAGAGGGGTCACCGAGGAGGAAGGAGGTCCTGATTCCTCTATATAGATCTTTATCACTAGAGGGGTCACCGGCAGGAGGAAGGAGGTCCTGATTCTTCTATATAGATCTTTATATCACTAGAGGGACACAGCAGGAGGAAGGAGGTCCTGATTCCTTTATATAGATCTTTATATCACTAGAGGGGTCACCGGCAGGAGGAAGGAGGTCCTGATTCCTCTATATAGATCTTTATATCACTAGAGGGGTCACCAGCAGGAGGAAGGAGGTCCTGATTCCTCTATATAGATCTTTATATCACTAGAGGGGTCACCGCCAGGAGGAAGGAGGTCATGATTCCCTATATAGATCTTTATATCACCAAAAGGGACATCACCGAGGAAGGAGGTCCTGATTCCTCTATATAGATCTTTATATCACTAGAGGGGTCACCGGTGGGAGGAAGGAGGTCCTTATTCCTCTATATAAATCTTTATATCACTAGAGGGGTCACCAGCGGGAGGAAGGAGGTCCTGATTCCTCTATATAGATCACTAGAGGGGTCACCGGCGGGAGGAAGGAGGTCCTGATTCCCTATATAGATCTTTATATCACTAGAGGG